CAAGTACCTATCCAATTCCCTTTTGTAAGCTACTATCGAATCTGCTTCCACCTCCCTTTCAGGCAATGCATTCCAGATCGTATTGATAGGAAATTCAAATCGATAGAAAAAAAATTCCTTCCCAAATTACTTCGGGGCGAGGTGAACATTGCAGGAAATATCAATTGAGAGGTGTGACAATTTGGATTTTATTCATAATTTTTTTTCTATGGGTGGGTGGTGGTAGGAGGGAGAGGGGATTGTTTGAATATAATGACATGTGAATACTTTGAAGAGCCCAGCATAGATATTTATTCGCCCTCTCACCTTGCAAGGTTTGATTCCCGGGCAGGGCAAACCCCTTGGCATATTTTGAGAAGTCTCAATGACATGATAAGCGCTATATCAAATGCAAGGATTCTTATATATTATATTACTAAAATGACAATGTCAGTCTGTGTGTCAGCCAAGATCTCAATAGCCAATTGATGTGGAGATATGATTTATGCCTCATCGGAAAGTCCTTGAAATTGGGAGTGCCATGGGCACATTTTTTGGGGGGGATTTCCTATCGTTGATGAGTTATGACCTAAACAAGCTCATCATCCCTGGTGGCCACGCCAACTCCTAGTGGTGTTGTGGCATCGTGTGACACAGAGCATGTATGTATGCACACAGCACGCACGCACTCAGACGAAGTTAAGCGGCGGGAACAAGATAAAGATGCCTAATCAAGACTTTCAAGTACAACTAAAAATGCCAGACAAAAGACTGAAGGCCGATTAAATGAAGCTGAATCACAAAGAAAAGCCTGGCTGCATTGCAATAACTCGAGGACCTGCCGGATCACACAGTAAACCCCTTTGGTTAGCATAGCTTTGATAAGATCTTCTATCGTTCATGAGCCATTACCCAAACAAGCTCATCGCACATGTATGGCAGTTTTGCTTAAGGTGTACACACGGTGTTTATGGCTTGTTAAATGGTTTGTGAGTGGTAGGTATCACTGAAATCTACATTCCAAATTGGATCCTTTGGTTGCAAGTATAGCGGCAACGGGAACAGCTGGTATTACATATTGTAATTTGTGCTGTCAACTGAACTTACTGGCAGAAAAGTGAGAAAAGTTTTATTCCCCCACCCCCACCCCACCCCGGCTGTATTTTCTCCTTCCCTCATTCACAAACTCCTTGCAGAGAGGGACTGCACATCAGTTGAGCCAGTTAATTCCTAGTGTCTAGGAGAGCAGAACAGTACAGCTGTTTTTTTGCTGAGTTATTTCCTTGGCCTTTTAGAGTCATTCAGCTGCTGTTACCGGGAGAGGTGGGAGATGGAGGACAAAATGTATTCACTGTTCATCAGAACATAAGAATCACTGGACGAAAGAAGATCAAGGTCAATCAGGTCGCTTTCCACCACCCTGGCAGTCGCATGAACACGTCACGTCCCAAAGAATTTATTGTATCACAAGATATTATTTCCTTACAGAAATCTACCTAATTTGCTTTGAAAGGATCTACACTTTCTGCTTCACACTGTCTCCCTACAGTGTCTGTTACATGCATTTACGACTCACTTACAGAAGTAGTGTTTCCACAGAATAAAAGCATAAGATCTACAATAAGAACATAATTTTTTAGCGTTACCACAGACCCACCAACAGATCCAACACATTCCCCACAGCACGTCACCCATTCAACCAGTGACAATTCACGTGGCTCCGCATATCACCCTCGGCTTAAGTGTATTCCAATCACAGTCACAATTCACTAGGCAAATAGGTTCAGCCACTGAAGTCCTAGAGACAGCGAGTGGTTAGCATCCTCACCTCGTAAGTAAGAGGAACTGGGTTCGATTCCCGGGCAGGACAAAACCTTAGGCAGGTTTCCTTACTCCACACGCCTCAGTTTACCTAGCAGTAAGTAGGAACCTGTTTGATAATCGATTGGTGGATCTCTTTCCGAGGGTAATGGTTTGTGCATCAGCGTGGTGCAGTGGTAATGCTCTCGTCTCTGAGTCACAAGGCTATGGGTTCAAGTTCCATGTCGAGATTTGGAATCACAAAGCCTAAGCTGACACTCTAGTGCAGTGCTGGGGGGTATTGCATTGTCTTGAGGTGCTGTCCTTTGAATGAGATGTTAAACTAAGCTCCCATATGCCTGTTCAGGAGGACAACAAATTGCATTTATATAGTGCCTTTCACGTCTTGAGGTTCTCCAAGGTACTAGCAACCGAGCTATAGGTTGGGACCAGAGAGGGGTGGAGGGCGACGGGGGTGGAGGAGAGAAGCTGACCGAAGGCACGGTTGAAAAGCAAAGTCTTGAGATGGGCTTTGAAGGAGGTAAGTGAGGGGTAAGTCAGAAGGGCTCCGGGATAGAATACCGGAGGGTGGTGGCAGAAAGGCTATAGGCTCAACCGCCAATAGTTGACCAGGTTGGGAAGGAGACATGAAGCAGGCCATTGCCTGCGAGCGGTGGGAGTGGACGGATTGGTATGGTTTTAGGACGGCATGGAGGTCGAGAGGAGCAAGGTTATGGAGGGCTTTAAAGGCAAGGACGAGGATTTTATATAATATAATAATAAGATTGAACTTGATCCTCTGGGGGATGGGGAGCCAGTGAAGCCGGCCGAGGATGCGGGTGACAAAGTCACGTACGGGAGAGGACACGAGCTGCAGAGTTATGAATAATCCGCAGTTTATGGAGGGAAGAGTGACCCACTATTGGCGAACAAAAAAATGCTTTGTGGTTTTTCCGTTGCATTGTCCGAAAGAGTGCATTCCTGTGTAATTTACCGTATAAATCACATTCAGTCAGTGACAGAGCGGCTGATAGGAAAGCGGCATTTACAATTGATAATGGGAACCAGTCACTTAATTTGAGAGATATGAACACCTAATCTTTGGCACTGGCGCATGTGTAAAGATAAACGGCTCAGCTTACCCCAATACTGTCCCTTATGTGTAGCAAGCTTCTTATCTCGCCACGAAACACAAGTACTCTCATTATGAATGTACAAAGGAAGAGAAATCAGTTCAGAAGCTGACCGGGTAATGCCTAAAGCTCCACACATCTCTGCCTTGGAAAGGCAGTAATGTGCTGTTGCTCTTGCTAGCAATGCGATTTGTAGAAGGAAACCAGGGAACTTTATTGCCTAATCCTGTGGACTAATCGGACTAATCTTGCCCAAGGAGAGACCTTACACCACAGGAGGAGGCCATTCAACCATGGCTATCAGGCATTCAGGATCTCTGCCTTCGCACTCTGGAACTCCATCCTGCAATCCCTCCGCCCTAACCCCTCTCTTGCCTCCAAAACACTGACTGTCCAGCAGCGTGGGACATTCTCCCGACGTGAAAGGCGCTATACGAATATAATTTTGTTGTTGTTGTTCAAGTCCCGTGTAAAGACCTTCCTCTTCGACTGCGCCTTTGGCCTTCACAATACCGCTCCCTTACCCCCCTCCACTACTCCCTCACTTACCAGCTGCATTGAATTTCGCAGGCGCAGTGTAGATTATTGATTAAATTATATTTTTTACGACTTATGACTGCAAATTGGACTTCATGTAAGTCATATTAAATCTTATGGTTTCAACTGATATAACTTATGTGTGGTTTGCTGGATATTGTTTCTCTTGCAACTACTCCAATCCTTCCCAGTCTCCCCAGCTCCACCATACACAAGGTCCAGCTAATTCAAAACTCTTTTGCCCATATCCTTACCCCCACCAAACTCCATACCTCCATCACCCCAGTCCTTGCCAGGCTCCACTGACTACCTATCAGAGTACCTATCAAGATCCTCTCACTCATCTACAAATCCCTTCATGCCCTGGCACCTCCCTGGCTCTCCGACCTGCTTACCTCGCAAACCCACCACCCACTGCCTCCGCTCGGCTGGCTCCAGCCTCCTGCCCATCCCTCATCAGCTCCATTCCACCATCGGCAGGTCGTAGCTTTCAACCTTTGCAGCACGGAAACAGGCCACTCAGCCCAACCATATTGCTGGTGCAGAAATTGGCTTTAGCTATCAGTGGTGTATAAGTGTAAATTTGTATTGTATTCTATTGTATTAAGCCACTTTCAGACATCAACACTCAACATGAAAGGTAGTGTGCGAACACCAATTAGAGTTGTCGTCAAAATTGCCCCCCCCCCACCCCAGCAAGGGCAAACGTGGTTTAGTAACTCTAGCAGTGAGACGTAGAACAATTAAGTGGCCTTTCATGCAGAGTAGCGTCTCAGACCACTTGACCATAGCGGAGCCTGACACCAAACCGTGGGAGGTGGTCTTCAGTCATGGTCTGAAAATGGGGAAGGAGGGGGCAAGGTGGAGAGATTGAGGAAGAGAGTTCCAAGGTTTCGGGACGTAGTGGCTGAAAGCACGGCCAACGATGGTGGAGCGGAGGGGATGAGGGACAGGCAGGTGGCTAGAGTCAGATGAGCAGAGGCAACAGATGACGGAGTGGGGAGAAAGCAGGTGGGAAAGGTATGGAGGTGCCAGGACACAAAGGGATTTGAAGACGAATAAGAGGATCTTGAAGTTGATCCGTTTGGTGAAAGGGAACCAGTGGAGCCTGGTGAGGACCTGGGTGAATGAAACTGCTGGTTTCCGAGGTGGGTGGGGGTGTGGGGAAGACGACTGTGAGTGGTATTAAGGGTAGGGGGGGGATAAACCCTAAAACACTGATTGTGATGAAAAGTAAAATTTTGTTTTGTCTCTGTAGGATCACGTGGAGTTGAACTAATTTCTGCGAAAAACACGGATTGGCAGAGCCGAACTGACGAGTGCTTTGCCAGGCTTCTGCAGGTCGCTGTTGTCAGGACAGTTACTTTTCCTGCAGAAATCCCAGCACTTGGCTACGGCGAGGAAACAGTCTGGGCCAACTAATCCGTGCCGGAGTTTATACTCCACATAAGTCCTTCAACCCGGGCACACTACCCTCCAGCAATGTTACGTTGCTCCAGTTGGTGGCCAGTGTTGGTGGTGGTGGGTTGGGCGTTGGCAGACTTTTGCCCAATGACCCCTGAGCATGCCAGGCACCAGGACTGGGAAGAGCCGGGTCCATCCCACCGTCAAGCCGAACGGAACAGGACCCAGATCCAGTTCTTTGTCCCTGAGGAGCATACAGGATCTGAACCGGTTTACATCGGGAATGTGAGTGTTTCTCCATCTTTGTTTGAACCTGCTTAATGAAGTGAAGAGGGACAACAACAACAGCAACAACTAATTACATTTACACGGCGCTTTTCACGTCAGGAGGACTTTCATCCCAAGGCGCTGGACAGTCAGGGATTTGGGATCCAAGCTGGGGGTTGGGGTAGGGAGGGGGGAGGGTAAGGGTAGGAGGGTGGCCGAAGGCGCGGTCAAGGACGAGGGTCTTGAGACGGGTCTTGAAGAAGGCAAGGGAGGGGATGAGGTGAAGGGACTGTGGGATGGAGTTACAGGCGAACTGTAAATTGTATAAAATCCAGTTTAGTCAATAATCTACAGCGCGAATGTATAATTCACTGCAGCCGCTCGAGGTGACGGGTCAATATTATGTTTGCCGCGATTCAATATGTCTTGACCCGTCGCCGCATGTGCACTTGCCAGCAAACGTTGGAACCACATTGAATCGCGGGAAGTGAAGTTCTGCGCATGCACCGACGGACAAAGACCATGTTTCCCGCGATTCACTGCAGCCGGTAAGCGCGAGAGTAATGGAGGGTAAGGGAGCAGTGTTACAGGTAGCAGGTGATTAATATGAGTAGTGGAAATAAATCCAAGTGGTTTTTGATAGGAAACTGAATGGGACTCAGTTGCATGTACGACTGAAGCAATTATCCGATTGATAAAGACAAGACTTAGGTGAGTTTTATTGTATTATTATCTTATCGTTGTAGCTCCACTCTGAAGTAGACAGCGTCAACAGGTCTGTGAAACATACCCTCTCGGGTATCGGAGTCGGCACTATATTCACCATTGACAAGGACAAAGGTGACATTCACCTCCTGAAGAAACTGGATCGAGAGAAAATACCTTTCTACTCTCTGAGGGCACAAGTGGTGGACAAGCTAACAAAGCAGCACGTGGAGCCTGAGATCGAGATCTGTATCCAAGTCCAGGACATCAACGACAATGAACCCAAATTTGTGGATGGACCCTACATTGTAACTATCCCTGAAATGTCACCTGTAGGTAAGTGAAAGAAGGAAAGGTTCCAGAATCGAAATCATATAATAATAATAATAATAATAATAATCCTTGCATTTGATACAAAGCCTTATCATGTCGTGGAGACATCCAAAAGCGCTTCACAGAATATACTGTAAAGGGAAACCCGGCAGCCAATTGGCAAGCAATGTCCCACAAACAGTCGTGGATTGAGTGACCAATTTTTTTGGGGGGTGGCGGAAGGGATTATTACCCCAGGAAAGGGACCTGCCAATCGAATAACAAACTGTGTTCCTGCTAGGTAAACAGAGGCATGCGGATTCACCCAGGAATCGAACCCGGGTCCTCTCGGTTGCGAGGCGAGCATGCTAACCGCTACCCTACAGGACTCCACTTGACATGCGGAGGAGTTGAAATATTGCCTTGGCTGCATCCTTCGTTACTAGAGAGGCAGTTTCTCACCAGGTCCAGGCCACCATTAAAATCGGTCACTCATTTCAAGGCAATTTGTAGGACGATTGTCCTTGCGATTTGTTTCAAGATGTTCATCCTATTTGACAGGTTCAATATAACCACTGCTATTGTTGCATTCAGGGAGGCGCTGCATCATCCTTTGGGCGCAGTGAACAATAAAACTACATTTACACTCACCACCACTCCAAAACTATTACTCATATCACATGCTTGTTTGCCTGAGCTTTTTCTACAGCTTAGGCAAATAGTTCTGTACTTGAGGCAATGGAACCATTCACTCACTTGCAATATAACATGAAAGGCTTGAACGCTGCTGTGAGGAAGCAAGAACACACTGGGGCGAGGACGATATTTTACTTCAACGCTTGCTTGCTCAAGGGTTAGTCCACAGCTGGGTACCGCACGGTAGAAAGGGCTATCAAAGCGATACAGAGAGAAGGTGCAGTGCAGCTTCACAAGGATGTGACGTTAAACCGAGGTCCCTTCTGACTGTTCGGGTGGATGTTAAAGATCCCGTTGAGCTGCTCAAAGAGAGAAGGGAACTCTCTCCCAGTGTCCTGGCCAACAATCCCCCCAGTCGCTCGCTCCACGACTGTTCGTGGGACGCTGCTGTGCGCAACTGGCTGCCGCGTTTCACCCACAAAATACACAGTCACTCCACTTTACAGTATATCCTGTGAAGCGCTTTGAGACGTCTCAACGACGTGATAAGGCACTGTATCAAATGCGAGGATTATTATTCTTACATCGAATGCAAGAGTTTTATTATTATTATGATTAATAATTATTATTATAATAATATGCTAATGTTTACTTATCCTCTTGGCTTATGTTCTGTGCAGGAACCTCAGTGACACAGGTGACAGCGATAGACGCTGATGATGCTGACACGGGGAACCACGCCAGGGTTCTGTATCAGCTCCTGCAGGGACAGCCATATTTCTCCGTGGAGCCAACGACAGGTGAGCAGGGCATCTCACGACTGGCAGCTTGAGACGTCTCTACGACGTGATAAGGCCCTACATCAAATGCAAGGATTATTATTATTATTTATTATATTCATCTTATTTAAGTGGAGTCCCCTAAGCATAGCAGTTTGCACACTCGCCTCGCAAGTGAGAGGGCCTGGGTTTGATTCCCGGGCAGGGCAAAACCGGGCAAGTTTCCTTACTCCACACATCTGTGTTTACTTAGCAGTCAGTAGGGACCCGGTTGTTAGTCGATTGGCTGATCGTTTTCCGGGGGTAGTAATCCCTCCCCCCAAAAAACAAATTTGGGCTCTCAATCCTGTTTAACGGTAATTAAATTCTATAATTTCTCTATAATATATCTGTCTACTTCCTTCTTGAAAGCTACAGTGCAATATGTCTCCATCACCCTACGATGCAGGGCGTTCCATACCCCAACCACTTTCTGAGTGATAAAAATCCCCCTGAGTTCTCCTTTCACTTTTCTTGTGGCTATGGTTGTGGGACACTGCTGTGCGCAATTGGCTGCTGCATTTCGCCCACAAAATATAGTCAATCCACTTTACGGTACATTCTGTGAAGCGCTTTGAGACGTCTCGATGACTTGATAAGGCGCTATATCAAATGCAAGGATTATTATTAAGTTGTCCCCTAGTCACTGACTCCCTTATGGGTGGAAATAACGTCTCCCTATTAACCTTGTCAAAACCCTTCATAATTCTGTGCACCTCTATCAGTTCCCCCTCGATCTTCTCCGCTCCAAAGAAAACAGGCCCAGCTTCTCCAATCTCTCCTGATAACTGTAGCCCTTCATACCCAGAATCATTCTCGTTAACTTCCTCTGCCCTTTCTCTCAGACTTCCGCACTGAGCTAATATTTGATGTCAACATTCACGATAGCTTGCATCACTAGCTCGGAGCGAGAGCGAGAGAGAGAGAGAGAGAGAACGAAAGACAGTGAGACAGAGAGAGAGAGAAAGAGCGAGGAATAAAAGTAAACATGTTTTTTCTCTCGTCCTTTGATTTTCCACATTTTACCAAACTTCACAGAGCTTTGATGTTGCTCCACTTGATGTTAATGGGCTTAATAAGAGGCACCAAAGCTATAACCATTTTACAACATGGACAACAAGGCCCTAGAAGCGCTCGGATCGAATCTCAGATTAAATTCTGTTGGATTCTTCGGATTATTTTGAAATATTGCAGAGTCCTGTAGTGTGTCGGTTGGAGCACTCGCCTCGCAAGTCAGAGGACCAGTGTTTGATTCCCCAGCAAGGCGAAAGGTTAGACGACAACAACAACAGCAATTTATATAGCGCCCTTCACACTGGGTAGCGTCCCTGAGCACTTCATTATTACGTCTTTATATAGTGCCGTAACAGTGACCGAATCTAACTCCAAGCCAGGGGGAGAGGGAGGGGCCAGGTGACCGTAAATTCGATCAAAACGGAAGGTATTTAGGTGGGATTTGAAAGTGGGGAGGGAGGGGGCAAGGCGGAGGGTTTGAGGGAGAGAGTTCCAGAAATTCAGGGTGTAGTGACTGAATGCACAGACGCCAATGGTGGAGCGGAGGGGACAAGGGACAAATAGGAGACCAGAGCCGGCCAGAGGGGCAGTAGATAAGGGAGTGGGGGGGGGGCAGCAAATCAGATAGGTAAGGAGGTGCGAGGGCATGAAGGGATTTGAGTGAGAGGATCAACTAGTTTCCTTACTCCACTCACCTCTACAACAACAACAAGATTTCATTTACAGAGTGCCTTTCACATCGGGAGGACGTCCCAAGGCGCTGGACAGTTGGGTCGGGCCCGGAGCAGGGGGGAAATGGTCAGGGTGAGGGGAGGGAAGAGAGGGAGCGAGGAGGGGGTAGAGATTCAAGAGGGGAGCTGAAGGCACGGTCAAAGAGAAAGGTCTTGAGACCGGCCTTGAAGGAGGAAAGGGAGGAAGCGGCGAAGGCACTGGGGATGGAGTTCCAGAGCCTCGGGGCTGAGAGGCTGAAGGTCCGGCCAACGATGGTAGGCCGGTTGGGGCGGGGGATGTGGAGCAGACCGGAGCCAGAGGAACGGAGGGTACGGGCGGGTAGGTAGGGGGATAGTAGGTCGGAGAGGTAGGAGGGACCAAGGCCGTGAATGGCCTTGTAGGTGAGGATGAGGATCTATTTACCTAGCAGTAAGTAGGAACCCGGTTATTACTTGATTGTCAGATTGCTTTTCTAGGAGTAATGATCACTTGTTGTAATAATAATTTGGTCACTCAATCCACGACTGTTTGTGGACACTGCTGTGCTCAATTGGCTGCCGTGTTTTGCCCACAAAATAGAGTCAATTCACTTTACATTATACAACAATAACAAAATTATATTTATAGAGCGCCTTTCACGTCGGGAGGACGTCCCAAAGCGCTGAACAGTCAGATGTCAGGACCCGAGCATGGGGGAGGGGTGGGGTAGGGGTGAGGGAAGGCAGAGAGGTGGGAGGGAGACCAAAGACACGGTCGAAGAGAAGGGTCTTGAGACCGCCCTTGAAGGAGGCGAGGGAGGAAGAGAGGCGAAGGGACTGTGGGATGGAGTTCCAGAGTGTGAGGGCAGAGAGGCTGAAAGCCCGGCCACTGGTAGGCAGTGCCGGCCATGGCGTGGATGTGCGGGAGAAAGGACAGTTCAGGATCAAACAAGACCCCCAGGTTCCTGACTGGCTTAGTGGGGTTGAATGTGCAGCCATAGAGGCTGAAGCTGCCAGAGCCTGAGGTGCGGAGGCGCTGGTATGAGCCAATCAGGAGGGCCTCGGTCTTGCTGACGTTGAGTTGGAGACAGTTGTCCCTCGTCCAGGACTTGATGTCGGACAGGCAGTCAGTCAGGACGCCAGTGGTCCTGGAGTTGAGGGTGGAGACAGAGGGAGAGTTGGGTGTCATCTGCATACACGTAGAAATTTACCCCATGTCTGCGGATGATGTCACCAAGGGACTTTTGCGAAGGACTTCGAGACGTCTCATAAGAACATAAGAATTGCTCGACGAAAGAGGACCATGATCCATCCAGTTTGCCTTCCACCATCCTGGCAGTCAGATGCACATGTCAAGCGCTTTGAGACGTCTCAAAGTGGTGATAAAGCTCTATATCAAATGCAAAGATTATTATCATTATATTGTTCCTTTGACGGATATTTTTAGTGTGAGCGATTTTTGGTTTAAAAACGACATCGCTTAACAAGTGGCTTTCAAGTTGTATTCTAAAAATAGAGGTTGATGTCAGCCATCAAAGAAGGGAGCGGATTAATATTTAATAACAGCGTCAATAAGATCAGAGTGAGAAGCCATTGATTCCCATTCATTCAAATGGGACAGATGGGTGAATGCAGCTCTTATTTCCTCTCCCACTGACCTCCCCCCACCCATCAAGTCCTATCGTTTCTCCTTTCCGAACGAGTAATCTTCAATTCCTGCTCCAATGGTTTCTGTGCCTTGTCCCCTCTGCCCCCAATCCCTCCGCCTTGCCCCCCCTCCTTCACCACTGTTTAAGCGTTCCGAGACGCTACCTGTGTGAAGGGCGCTACATGAATGCAAGTTGTTGTGGTTGTTATAACGTTGACCTCACTCACACCAAATGATTGGAAAGGGACAGATTGGCTTCCGTGTCAGCCTGGCGCAGTGGTAGCTCTCTCGTCTCTGAGTCAGGACTTGGAATCACAGGGTCTAAGCTGACTGTCCAATGCAGCACCGGAGGATGGTGGGGGGGGGGGTGTCGCATTGTCAGAGGTGCCGTCCTTCGGATGAGATGTTAAATCGAGGTCCCATTTGCTTCTTTTAGCAGTCGTGTCCAGCTTCAAAATAAGTGTCAACACTTTACTGCAGGAAACATTCATCAGGACTTCAGAAGGAATCTGATGAATACTAATCTGCACAGATTCCACAGAGTGTTTCTCCAGCAATCCTAATTTATAATTCTAATTTTCTTTGAAATGCATAAGATGGACAAAGCCTTGATTGATGATCTTATTAAAAATCCTTACATTTGATATTGCGCCTTTCACATCACGAAGCTGTCTCCAATTGCTTCGCAGATATTACAGCAAAGTGGAGTGACTGGGTTTTGTGGATGTAAATATGGATCAATTTGCGCATACTGAGCCGGGCTGACACGCACTGAGCCGGGCTGACACGCGCTGAGCCAGGCTGACACGCGCTGAGCCGGGCTGACACCCACTGAGCCGGGCTGACACCCACTGAGCCGGGCTGACACCCACTGAGCCGGGCTGACACGCACTGAGCCGGGCTGACACGCGCTGAGCCGGGCTGACACCCACTGAGCCGGGCTGACACCCGCTGAGCCGGGCTGACACCCACTGAGCCGGGCTGACACGCACTGAGCCGGGCTGACACGCGCTGAGCCGGGCTGACACGCACTGAGCCGGGCTGACACGCACTGAGCCGGGCTGACACGCACTGAGCCGGGCTGACACGCACTGAGCCGGGCTGACACGCACTGAGCCGGGCTGACTCGCACTGAGCCGGGCTGACACGCACTGAGCCGGGCTGACACGCACTGAGCCGGGCTGACACCCACTGAGCCGGGCTGACACGCACTGAGCCGGGCTGACTCGCACTGAGCCGGGCTGACACGCACTGAGCCGGGCTGACTCGCACTGAGCCGGGCTGACACGCACTGAGCCGGGCTGACACCTGGGCCACTTTAAAACCATTCCACAGGAGAATTGTTATCCCAACATCCTGTCCTGTCGTGTATTGGTCAGAGCACTTGCCTCGTAAGCAAGCGGACCGGGGCTCAATTCCCAGGCGGAGTGAACCCTTAGGCAAGTTTTCTTACTCCACATGCCTCTGTTTACCTTCCAATACGGAGGAACCCAGTTGGATTGGCAGATTGCTTTCCAGTGTTAATAATCATTTCAGAAAAAAAATGTACGTTTTAATTAATCCACGACTGTTTGTGGGACACTGCTGTGCACAATTGGCTGCCGCATTTTGCCCACAAAATACAGTCAATTCACATTACAGTATATTCTGTGAAGCATTTTGAGATGTCTCAATGACGTAATCAGGCGCTATATCAAATGCAAAGATTATTATTATTATTATTATTGGGGTTGATGCTGATGTTTCTGTGGCTGCTGTTGTGTTATTATTATTACTAATAGATTGTGTGATGATATTAAATTCTGGCCTGTTCATTACTAACTTGCTGGGAAAATCGTTCTGAACCAAACGACATTTGTTTTGCAGGAATTATCAGAGCAGCTTTATCGGATATGGACAGAGAGACCAAAGCTCAGCATCTGGTCCTCATAGAGGGCAGAGATATGGCCGGGTTGAAGGGTGGACTATCAGCTACGACAACCGTCACCATCAACCTATCTGATGTTAATGACAACGGTCCCAAGTTTCAACACAGTAAGTATTTGTGGAGCTGTTGTGAAATGCATTTGTGGAGTCCTGTAGTGTATTGGTTACAACAACAACAACAAGATTTCATTTATAGAGCGCCTTTTACGTCAGGAGGACGTCCCAAGGCACTGTACAGTTGGGTCAGGACCCGAGCAGGGGGGAAATGGTCAGGATGAGGGGAGGGAAGGGAGGGAGCGAGGAGGGGGGAAATGGTCAGAGGGAGGGGAGGGGAGGGTGGGAGCGAGGTGGGGGTAGAGAGTCGAGAGGGGAGCTGAAGGCTCGGTCAAAGAGAAAGGTTTTGAGACCGGCCTTGAAGGAGGAAAGGGAGGAGGCAGCGAAGGCACTGGGGGATGGAGTTCCAGAGCCTCGGGGCTGAGAGGCTGAAGGCCCGGCCACCGATGGTAGGGCGGTTGGGGCGGGGGATGTGGAGCAGACCGGAGCCAGAGGAACGGAGGGTATGGGCAGGTAGGTAAGGGGATAGTAGGTCGGAGAGGTAGGAGGGAGCGAGGCCGTGGATGGCCTTATAGGTGAGGATGAGGATCTTGAATTCGATCCTCTGGGGGATGGGGAGCCAGTGGAGGCGAGCGAGGGTGGGAGTGATGTGGTCGCGGTGTCTGGTGCGGGACAGTACACGAGCTGTAGAGTTCTGAATGACCTGCAGTGTGGAGGGAGGGCCGGGAAGGCCGGCGAGGAGAGAGTTCCCATAGTCCATCCTTGAGGTGATAAAGGCGTGGACCAGAGCTTGTCTCGCAAGAGAGAGGACCCAGGTTTGATTCCCAGTCAGGATGAAACCTTAGGCGAGTTTCCTTTCTCCATATGCCTCTGTGGTAGAAAGCAGGAACCCGTAAGTTGGACCCTTGGTTGTTAATCGATTGGCAGATCGCTTTTCTGGGGAGCAATAAAACCTTCCAAAAAAATGTGGTCACTCAATCCACGACTGTTTGTGGGACATTCCTGTGCCCAATTGGCTGCCGCGTTTCGCCCACAAAATATACAGTGAATTCACTTTACGGTATATTCTGTGAAGCGCTTTGAGACGTCTCGAAAACGTGATAAGGCGCTGTATCAATTACAAGGATTATTATTATTATATTATTATTTTGCAGCGCTGCAGGGAGCTCTCATTATCATAAGAGTCATAAATATTGAAGGCAGGATGTAGTGTCATCCTGTAAGTGTCAGCATGTATTTGTTACCATAACTACTTTGTCAAGTGAAATCCATTTGGATAGACCGCCTGGCGTGGCAATCTGTCAGTCTGAAATGCAGATGAATAATTTAGGATGAGATCTGGGTTGGATACTGCCCAGAGTCCACTAGTCCTAACTGTTACGTACAGATCTGTCCCCAACGTAATCTGGACCTCAGAGTTCGAACACTACAGATTTCGTGGAATCGTAGAATATTACAGCACAGAAGGAGGCCATTCGGCCCATCGTGCCTGTGTGGTTCTTTGGAAGAGCTGCCCAATCGGTCCGATTCCCCCGCTCTTTCCCCATATTCATACATTTCACTGACTCTTAATCTAGGAGAGTGTTTTGTCTCATAAATCAGAATTTTATTACAGAATGGATCGATTTCAAGATCTTTTTCGACTCTGCCTCCAGTCATCCTCCCTCCTCCACCGCCCTCGCAAAGCCCTCGTTGCCCAGCGCCTTGAGACGTCCTCCCGACGCGAAAGGCGTGTATAACTGCAATTTGCTGTTGTTGCTGACATCCTTCCTATATCAGGGTGACCAAAACTGGACACAACAGCTACAACAGCAATATGCGTTTATGCAATGCCTTTCGTGTCAGGACACAGAGCGAGCTGGGGGAGGGCGGTATCTTAGGAAAGTTGAGGAGAAGGGGAGAGAAAAGGTGATCAAAAGCGCAGTTGAAAGATATTGAGGGAGGGAGGGAGGGAGGGAAGGAGTGGGGAGGGAGGGAGGGAGGGGGCAAGATAAAGGGAGTTTTAAAGGGCAGGGATGGATTGCTTCACTCAAATAATACTCAAACTAATGATTTATACTTTAAGGCCATTCTCAACACCTTCCTTTTGTACCATGTCTTCGGTCATCTTCCCTCCTCCACCCCTTTTGCCCTCCACCCCTCTCTGATCCCAACCCTCAGCTCGGGTGCAAACCCCTCATTGCCCAGGGCCTTGGGTGCTGCAGAAATGCAATATGTCATATTTATTATTATTACTTCCTAAATCAGGGTGACCAAAACTAGACACAACAGCAATTTACATTTCTGCAGCCCTTTATACAACAGGATACAGAGCTGACTGAGAGCCCGAGCTGGGGGAGGGGAGACCTTAGGAAGGTTGAGGAGACGGAGAAAACAAGTGACCAAAATTGCCAGGTTCTCTATGATTCTTTTACTGATGGTTCTTTGTGCAATAGCTCCATCGGAAAGCATCACAATTTAGGAGACTGATGAAAACTGGCGTGTTAATCTCTGCTTCGTTGAAGCGTCAATCATGAGAGGGCTCGATCACAGCGGTGGGTGGTGGGGGAAGCAGTCACTGATGTACAGCACTGATACCTCGCAGGAGCTGATTGTAATATTAAATCACTGAACTGCTTAAGAGAGAGTGCGGAGAGAATGAGAGCAAATCTCAACATTGCAGCGTTTTAATAATGACAGCAATCTCTGCATTTGATACAGTAATAAGAAGAATCCTTACATTACTGTGTCCACAATATCCAAGTATTGTAGCGGACTTTGTGGAGTCCTGTAGCGTATTGGTTAGATTACTCACCTCGCACGCGAGAGGAACCAGGTTCCATTCCCACACGAGGAGAGGCCTTAGGCAAATTTCCTTACTCCACATGCCTCTGTTTACCCAGCAGTAAGTAGGCATCCAGTTGTTAGTCGATTGGCAGATTGCTTTGCGGAAGATAATAATCCCTTTCCAATCCACGACTGTTTGAGTCTCAATGATATGATACAGCGCGATATAAAATGTACGGATTATTATTATTATTATTATATAGCAATCGCCTGAAAACAATTACAGCACCGACACTCTACCTCCAATTCATTATTTTTTAATTGCAAGCTGAGGTCCTAATGAAGTGCAGTTGACTTGTGTTTAATATGGAATAAATCATGCCATTGGGAACCGTTTCTCAGTCACAGACTCTGCGTTCAAGTCTGACTATTTTTTTAATCACATTCTTTATAATAATAATAATCCTTGCCTTTGATACAGTGCCTTATCGCATCTGTGTATTTTGTGGGCGAAACACGGCAGACAATTGCTCACAGCAGTGTCCCACAAACAGTTGTGGATTGAATAACTATTATTATTTTTACTGATTATTACACCAGGGAAAAGCAATCTGCTAAATGACTAACAACCATGTTTCTACTCACTGAGGCGTGTGGAGTAAGGAAACTTGCCGAAGGTTTTGCCCTGCCCGGGAATCGAACCCAGGTCCGCTGGCTTTATGAAGCGAGCGCTCTAACCACTAAGCTACCGTTTTTCCTTTCGGTTTGTTTCTCCCAGAGCTGTACCATTTAGCCGTGCTGGAGTCTGCCGGAGTGGACTCGACAGTGGGGAGAGTGAAGGCCACGGATGCTGACATGGGGGAAAATGCAGAGATGAGCTTCGCCATCGAGAAAGACGATGGTTCCGATGCATTCGACATCTTCACAGATGATAAGACCCAAGAAGGTGTCATCATATTAAAGCAGGTCCAACTCACCAGTCTTCTTTTTATTCTTTATTCAGCCGGCTCGGGATTTCTGTAGTTCCAGGTTCCTACTTATCCAGCAGCAAGTAGGAAGACGGTTGTTAGTCGATTGGTGGATCGCTTTCCGGGGCTAATAATCCCTTAAAAAAAACTCCACCTCGCCCCCTCCCTTGCCCATTTATTGTTGTTGTCGTTTCCTTTTCGACCATGCCTGCGGTCAGTCATCGCTGCTCTCTGCCCAGCTTGGAGGGTCACTGTTAAGTGCTACGACACTCTACCCCGTGCGTGACTGCAAGCTCTCGTGGTTTAGTCATTATAATGTTTCTAGAGAAAACTCTTTAAAACCTTTTCATCTGTTGCAAGACTGGTCATCTGTGGATTATAAGTCCAAAAATAGCTGACTTGTCTGTGTGCCTTACTGCAGCCACTGGACTACGAGACCAAAAGAAGGATTAGCATCCGCGTGAAGGTTAGCAACACACACCTCGATCCCCGATTCCTCCATCTGGGAACGTTCAAAGATGTGACCAATGTGAAGATCAATGTGGATGATGTTGATGAGCCACCGTGCTTCACCTCCCCTGAGTACAACCTGAAGGTGGAGGAAGAGAGAGCAGCTGGTACCATCGTTGGTGTGGTTGCCGCAAGAGACCCAGACATTGCAAACAGCGCAGTCAGGTAAGCAACACCTGTTAATCGTAATAATAATATTAATAATAGCATTTAATGTAGCGCCGTATCACGTCTTTGAGACTCAAACAATCGTGGATTGAGTGAACAATTATTTTTTGGAGGGATTATTAGCCCCAGATCCGCCAATCGACTAACAACCGGGTTCATAGAATCATAGAATTATGCAGCATAGAAGGAGGCCATTCGGCCCATCATGTCTGTGCCGGCTTTGACAAGAGCTATCCAAATCAGTCCCACTCCCCCGCTCTCACCCCATAGCCCTGCAAACTTGTCCTCCCTAAATAACTATCTACTTCTCTCTTTAAAGCTGTTATCGAATCAGTTCCTATTTACTGCTAGGTATACAGAGGCATGTGGAGTGAGGAAACTTGCCTAAGATTTCTCCCCACCTGGGAATGGAACCCGAGTCCTCTCCCTTATCACATCAGAGTGACGTCTCAAAGCGCTTCACAGGATTTAGCCCCAAATGGAGCGACTGTAGGTAAATGCTGCAGCAGAGTTCCTCACTGCAACGTCCCACAAACAGCAATGAAACAAGTGACCACCTTTTTTCACTTGGGAGAATGTTGGCCGGGACATGGAGACTCCCTTCTCTTACTCTCTGGAATTAGGTAAACAGGATGTGTCCCTCCAGAGAGAGAGAGCGCATCCCTATTCCAACAATCTATCTCTGGGATTTCCACGTGTAGGTGGGAGGCGTGGAATTCTCAGTTTGGTTTGGATTCTCTTAAGCACAGTGATGGGTCTCCGCATGCGTCAGACACCCCGAAATTCTGAAACTCTCTTCCTCTATCCCTCCGTTTTGTCCCATCCTTCCCCATCTTCAGGTCTGGCCTAAACATCTTCCTCTTTCAACCGTGCCTCCACTCACCACCCCCTCCCCCCGGCTAGACCTCATACTCCGCCACTATCAGGCGCTCTGGGACGCTACCCTACCTGAGGGGCAATAGTTGTTCCACTTCCAACGATTGCTTTAATGAAAAATAGACAGTGAGTGGAAATGTCCGTGACGAACAGGTGACCGGTTAATGTGGGTGACTGTTATCAGTGACATTATATTGCCATTTGAGGTCTAATGAGCTTTCAAAGACTTCTCGAAAAACAATTAACTTTCAAGTGTCTCATTAATTATTCACCACCGACAATGATCGCACCACAGTATCTCTGCACACTTTCCTTCTGCCTCTTTTAGTCTGCTGTTTCTCTGGGCATGTTTGGATGTAATGTGTCACACATGTCCTTCCAAATCCATAGGAGCAGACGTATAATAATAATCATATAATAATAATAATCCTTCCATTTGACGTCGCGGCTCATCGAGACGTTTCAAAGTGCTTCAGGGAATATATATATTTTGTGGGCGAAACACGGCAGCCAATTGCACACAGCAGTGTCCCACAAACAGTCGTGGGTTGAGTGACTACGTTTTTGTTGGAGGGACTTTTACCTACAGATAGCGATCCGCCAATCGACTTCTTACTGCTAAGTGAAGAGAGGCGTGTGGAGTAAGGAAACTTTCCTTAGGTTTCGCCCCGGCTGGGAATTGAAACTGGGTCCTCTCGCTTGCGAGGCGAGCTCCCTAACCACTACGCTATGGGACTCCATTTTTATTGTCAAGTGCAGTGATTGTTTTTCTGGACGAACAAGAATGGGTAGAGATGAGCAACACAAAGCAACACGTTTATCTATCTATCTATCTATTTATCTATCTATCTATCTATCTATCTTTCTGTCTGTCTGTCTGTCTGTCTGACTGTCTGTCTGTCTGTCTGTCTGTTGTGCAGGTATTCCATTGATTGGAGCACTGACGAGGACAGAAATTTCAACATTGACGCCAATAATGGAACCCTAACCACTTCCAAAAGACTGGATCGAGAGGCTGTTCCTTGGTACAATTTATCCGTCTCGGCCTCAGAAGCGAGTAGGTGCTAATTCATTGTGAAAATCGCAATGCGCTCCTTCACAGACGTGTCCAATGTACATAAACAAGCCTTGCATTTGCTGCGGTGCCGTTAGCACACTCGCCTCGCAAGCGAGAAGACCCAGCACTGAATCCTCGACTGTTTGTGGGACACTGCTGTGTGCAAATTGGCTGCTACATTTCGCCCACAATATACACAGTCGTCAATCCACTTGACAGTAAATTCTGTAAAGCCCTTTGAGGCGTCTCAATGAAATGATAAGGCACTGTATCAAATGCAAGGATCATTCTTCTTATTATTGTGCCTTTCATGTTAGGGATACGTCTCAAAGCGCTTCACAGGATTGCCTGTAACATTTATTGACTGAACATATTGCAGGCAAACACTGCAACCAATTTGCACACATCTTTGTTCTACAAACAGCCATGAAGTGATGGAAGAGATTTATTGTATCTGAGGGCTTCTCGGCCAGGACACCAGGAGAGAGAAACTCTCTTCTCTTTTCCAATAGCACCGCGAGATCTCTAACATCCACCTGAACAGGCGGATGTAAGCTCAGAAATAGAATCTCATTCCAAAGGATGTTTCAACGTCGTAATAAGGAGCTATTTCAAATGCAAGGATTATTATTATATTATTAAAAGATGAAAGACTTCTTGAAAATACCCCCACCCCTTTTCAGGGCTTTGCCAAAGAATTACTGTCATCTGCTGTCAATTGGAGCACATAAGTGGAACAACACAGAGAGTGTGACAATTCACGTCACAAGAAGAGATTATTTGCCCATCAGACTGTTGACTTGCAATCCACCCACTATTGGAATCGACCTCATTCTTCAAAACTCCAGAGGGAAAGGTTTTGTTTAAAGCTCAATGGATGTCGACCTCCATTCACAGAGTTACATAGATTCCAGTAGTGTAGTTGTTAGTGCATTCACCTCGCAAGCGAGAGGACCCGGGTTCGATTCCCGGGCAGTATGAAACCTTATCCAAGTGTTCTTACTCCACACGCCTCTGTTTACCTAGCAGTAAGTAGGAACCAGTTGTTAGTCGATTGTCGGATCACTTTCCAGGGCTAATAATCTATTCAAACATAATAATAATAATTTGGTCAATCAATCTGTGTTTCGCCCACAAAACACACAGTCAATTCACTTTACAGTATAATAATAAAAAATAATAATAATCCTTGCATTTGATATAGCGCTTTTCACGTCTGGAGGACGTCCCAAAGCGCTTCACAGAACACATTGTAAAGTGAATTGACTGTATATTTGTGGGCGAACGCGGCAGCCAATTGCGCACAGCAATGTCCCACAAACAGTCATGGATTGAAAATGACCAATTTATTATTGTTTTGTTTTTTTGGAGGGATTATCATTAGGCTCTGTGTGGAGTAAGGAAACTTGCCCAAGGTTTCGCCCTCTGCCTGGAATTGAACTCAGGTCTCTCGCTTTCAAAGCGAGTGCTCTAACCACTGAGCTACAGGACTCCACACAAAGTATATTCTGTGAAGCGCTTTGAGACGTCTCAACATGATAAAGTGCTATATGAAATGCAGGGATTATTATTAATATATTGCTGTCCAGGACACCTTTATGAACAGCACCACAGGATCCTGAACATCATTCTGAGAACAGGTGACAGACATAAAATGGTCTCACATCGCTGGACAGCTTTGACCTCATTTGACCTCCACTTTCCCCCCACAGATGATCCTACCAAAGTTACTAAAGTCTCTGTGCGTATCCAGGTTGTGGATGTGAATGACCACGTTCCTGAATTCCCAATCCCATACAAGGCTTTTGTGTGTGAGAACGGAAAGAGGGAACAGGTAAAGGCCTTCATTTACTGAACTCTTACCTTGAGGGAAATTTGCAAACTGCATTTAATAGCTTTCATCGATGATAATTTTCACAAGGGCAGAAATTGTTTACTTAGCTGTAGGTAGCAACCCTGTTGTTAGTCGATTGGCACATTGCTTTCTGGGGGTAATAATCACTAATTATTGAATTATTGAATAAATTGAATAAATAATAATAATTTGGTCACAAAAATGTTACATTGGGAAGTGTCGGATCCAATCAAGTGATTTGAAATCTTTGTGGGTTCAATCCTCGCAGCAGGACTTGGAATCACATAGTCTAAGCTGTGGCTCAGCGGTTAGAGCACTCGCTTTGCAAGTGAGAGACCTGAGTTCAATTCCAGGCAGAGGGCGAAACCTTGGGCAAGTGTCCTTACTCCACACAGAGCCTAATAATAATCCCTCCAAAACAAAACACAATAATAAATTGGTCATTTTCAATCTACGACTGTTTGTGGGACATTGCTGTGCGCAATTGGCTGCTGCGTTCGCCCACAAATATACAGTCAATTCACTTTACAGTATATTCTGGGAAGCGCTTTGGGACGTCCTCCCGACGGGAAAAGCGCTATATCAAATGTAAGGATTATTATTATTATTATTATTATGCTCCAGTGCAGTGCTGGGGGGTGTTGCATTGTCGGTGATGCCATTCTTCAGATGTTCTTCAGAGGTCCCGTCTGCCTGTTCAGGTGGACATTAAAGATCCCACGGCACTATTCGAAAAGAGAAGGGAATCTCTCTCTCCCGGTGTCCTGGCCAACAATCCCCCGAGTAAAATTGGTCACTCAATCCATGGCTGTTTGTGGGACACTGCTGTGCAGAAATTGTCTGCCGTGTTTCGCCCCTACAATACACAGTCAATCCGCTTTCCTGTGGCGCCCTTTGAGAAGTTTCGCAAAGTGATAAGGCGCTATATCAAGTGCAAAGATTATTATTTTTATTTATTGTAATATTATTATTATTATTATGGCAGTTGATCCACACCATCAGCGCAGTGGATAAGGATGAGCCACCGAATGGACATCACTTCCACTTTGCCTTGGCGCCCGAGGCTATCAGCAAAGCCAATTTCACTGTCAGAGATAATCGAGGTAGGACATCGTCCTTTCTGCTCCTGTTTGATCATTGATCCTCCCAGTGTCTTTCCAACAGTATGTGAGGCTGTCTCGGTTGGAGTCCTATAGCATAGTGGTTAGCCTTGCAAGCGAAAGGACTTGGGTTCAATTCCCGGACAGGGCAAAACTTTGGACAAGTTTCCTTACTCCACACATGTCTGTTTACTTGGCAGTAAGTAGGATCCCGGCTGTTAGTCGATTGGCAGATCACTTTTTTTATCCCTCCAAAAAAAAAATGTGGTCACTCAATCCATGACTGTTTGTGAGACACTGCTGTGCGGAATTGGCTGCCCACAAAATATCGTCAATTCACTTAACAGAATATTCCGTGAAGTACTTTGAGACGTCTCAAAGACGTGATGAGGCTCTATATCAAATGCAAGGGTTATCATTATTATTATTATTATTAATTATATAAGTTATGGACAATTGTTTGCAAGTGCGGATGACAAGAACTAGGAGAAATAATAATAATAATCCTTGCATTTGGTATAGTGCCCTATTATGTCTTCAAGACATCTTGAAATGCTTCATAGAATATACTGTAAACTGAATAAATGTATATTTTGTGGGCGAAACACAGCAACCAATTGCACACAGCAGCGTCCCACAAAGAGTCGTGGATTGAGTGACCAAATTCTTTTTTCAGGGATTATTATCCCCGGAAAAGCGGTGCGCCGATCGACTGACAACCGGTACTCAGAGGCTTGTGGAGTAAGGAAACTTGCCCAATGTTTCACCCTACCGGGAATCGAACCCGGGTTCTCTCGCCTGCGGGGCAAGTGCTCTCACCACTAAGCTACAGGATTCCACAAAAAAATGGACCCCAGGAGCAAGCTCCTTCCCCAATTCCAAGCGGAGACCAATTCTCAGCTCTCACAAAGCCGGATGTTCAGAAGAGTCACTTAGTCCCCATATTTCAGTCTCACAAAGGAGATAGGAACAGGACTGGGCCATTCAACCCCTCGGGCCTGTTCCATTATTATTAGCAATTTAGACATTTATTAGACATTTCAGCCTGGTTTGCAGGACTGATTTCCGCAGTCACTACACTTAGCAGTAAATCCTGTAAAGCGCTTTGAGACGGCTTCCTGACCTGAAAGGCACAGCATCGGATGTAAGTGTTGTTGATGTTATTTAACACTCGTCGATTATCTACTGAAACTCTGATTGTTTTCAGTGTATTTTGCACGCTTCTGTTCCACCATCAGCGCTGCACTTTCAGCCACTACGCCCCGAAACTCTGGAACTCTCTTCCTCTATCCCTCTGCCCCGCGCCTGAAGACCTTCCTGTTTGACCGTACCCCCTGGCTCGGTGTTGTGCTCCAACCACTGTCAAGCGCTCTGGGACGCTACCCTGCTTGAGGGGCGTTGTGTAAACGCAACTTGTTGTTGTTGTAGATAACACAGCTGTGATCCTGACGCGGAGAGCCTGGTTCAGCCGGAGAGAACAGGCTGTTCACTTGGTGCCGGTGATCATTGTGGACGATGGGAGTCCGTCACTGACCAGCACCAACACCCTGACAGTCCGTGTCTGCGCCTGCAACAGCAACCAGCTCTGCAACGTGAACCCATTCGCTCTGCCCGCAGGCCTCACCACCGGCCCCCTCATAGCCATCCTCGTCTGCTTGCTCATGGTAATAGGTGAGCGACAACAACAACAACATTTACATGGCGCCTTTCATACGTCCCAAGGCGCTGGACGGTCAAGGATTTGGACCCGAACAGGAGGTTTGGATCAGGAGGTGTGGAGGCAGTGGGGTGGGGGGGGTATGGCATTTTCACAGGTGCCGTCCTTTGGATGAGACGTTAAACCGAGGTCCCGTCTGCCTGTTCAGGTGGATGTTAAAGATCCCTGCGGTCCTGGCCAAATAAAACCGGTCGCTCACTCCACGGCTGGGTGCAAACCGACTGCCGGTTTCGCCTGTGAAACACACAGTCTTTGCACCTTACAGTATAACCTGTGAAGCGCTTTGAGAAGTTCCTGTTCATTGGAAGCAAATTTAAGGATTATTATCATTTCGCCCACAAATATGCAGTCAATTCACTTTACAGTCTATTCTATTCTGAGACGTCTAGAAGATGTGAAAAGCGCTATATCAAATGCAAGATTATTATTATAATTATGATGATTATTTACGATTAATATGATTATTAGAATTATTACGGTTATTATGATTATTATGATCATTCTGATTGTTATGATGATTATGATTATTATGATTATTGTGATGATTATGCTGATTATGATGATTATTACTGTAATAAGCAATGTAATATAGAAGCTTTATTCCCCTAACATCCCGACCCAAAAGAGCTTCCACAATCCATGTTTTCCCACTAAGGTTTCCTCGCTCTGTAATGGACTGAGGCAAGCAGATGAATAGTGACAGGAGAGGTTATAAGAAACTGCACAGACTATTCCCAGTAAATATAATGGAAATTTCACGGAAGCGATCAGCTTGTTATATAAGTGCTGTTTGGCTAGCTCCCAAATAGCACTTGATACCAAAGGTCCGCGAACGGTATTAAAACTTTACATCAGGTCGGACGCTGCGATTGTGGGATGAATTCGAATGAGGGAGCAAGAAAGTTCGCCCGCTGCCCACACTCGCCCAAGAGCTTTGCTTCCCGTCACTGGCAGGCGGGCGGGCGGGCGGGCGGGCGCGCAGACAGGAGAGAGAGCCGCAAAGCCAGACTGATTTGTTACAGGGAACAGGAGAGGAGCGAGCAAAGTCAATGTGTTCTGAAGGTGCATTGCTCACGTCTTTACTCCACTGTGCGTCCGTCCGCCTGGCGCAGTCACCTCTGGGTCAGAAGATTGTGGGTTCGAGCCCCCACGTCGGGACTTGGAATCACACAGTCTAAGATAAGAAATGTTCTTTGCATTTGATATAGCGCCTCATCACGTCCTTGAGACGTTTCAAAGCGCTTCACAGGATATACTGTAAAGTGGATTGACCGTGGGCGAAACGTGACATTCCATTGCAGTGCTGGGGGGTGTTTGCATTGAGTGTGTTTGCATTGCATTGAACATTGTTGGCCAGGACATAGGTACAATAAATAAGTAAAATAATAATAATAATTTGGTCACTCAATCCACGACTGTTTGTGTGACGCTGCTGTGCGCAATTGGCTGCCCTGTTTCGCCCACAAACTACACAGTCACTACACTTTACAGTACTTTCTGTGCAGCGCTTTGAGACCTCGCAACGGTTCGCATAAATCTTCACTTTATAAATTGTTTCAACGCCTCAGTCGTACTTTCACCCGAGCCCCGTTCAGTTTCTTATCAAAAACACTTAATTACTTTGCACCACTCATATTAATCACCTCCTAACTTGTAACCCTGCTCCCCTCCACCGCAATACTCCCTCACTTACCCTCTGCATTGAATTGCGGGAAATGTAATCTTGACCCATCACCTCATGGCCACTGACCGGCTGAGTTGAATTACACCTGTGCCGTCTAGATTATTGATTAAATCAGATTTCATACGACTTAAACAGTTTGCCTGTGACTCGGACTTCACTCAGGCCATATTAAATGTCATGGCCCTGCCGGACCGTGTTACTATCATAACATTGTTAAGTATAACCTTATTCCCTCTGCGTCAGCTGACGCTGTTACTCTCTGTCCTCTCAGTGTTGGTGTTACTGCTCCTGACACTGCGCAGGCACAAGAAGGAGCCTCTGTTTGTCAGCGAGGATCACGGGGTGAAGGAGAACACGGTGAGGTACGATGACGAAGGTGGGGGCGAAGAGGACACTCAGGCCTTCGATATGGTGGCCCTGAGGAACCCCAAAGTCATTCGAGAAGCCAAGACTCGAAGGGCCTCGGTCACCGACCTGCCGACCATGTACAGGCGGTCACTGAGGTGCGGTCCGGACGACACCATCTTCAGGGAGTTTATCCGGGACAGACTGAGCGAGGCAGACACCGACCCCTGCGCCCCCCCCTTCGATTGCTTGCAGACCTACGTCTTCGAGGGGGAGGGCTCGGTCGCAGGGTCTCTGAGCTCCTTGGCCTCCTCGACAGCGGACCCCCATTACGGGTACCTCGGCGACTGGGGTCCTCACTTCAAGAAGCTGGCAGACTTGTACGGCAGCCACCGAGATGCTGCATCGTTGTAAACAGTGGGAGAGCAAAGGAGGTGGAAGGTCCTCGCAAGGCACTCGGTAAATAACAAACGACTTAAGACACAAGAACTTGCTGGGAGAAAGAAGACTAAGGTCCACCTGGTTTGCCTTCCACCAGCCTGGCAGTCACTTGGCATGTCGTGTCCCAAACTATATACTGCATCCTGAGATACAGCAACAACAACAACAACAACAACAACAGCAACTTACATTTATGTAGCGTCTTTCATGTCAGGTGGCAAGGGTTTGCATCCGAAGAGCCTGGCTCAGTGGTAGCGCTCTCACCTCCAAGTCAGAAGGTTGCCCCACGTCGAGACTTGGAATCACACAGTATAAGCTAACGCTCCAATGCAGAGCTGGGGGTGTGTGTTGCATTGTAAGCCAACAGGACCTTACAGCCAGCAGAGACCATCCACCTGGGCTGTGTTCATCCAACTATCAAGTCAGTCAACCCAGCAACAGTTTTATTCTCAAATAAAGTTGCAACAACAACAACTTGCAGTTATATAGCGCTCCTCACGTAGGGCAGCGTCCCAAAGCTCTTAAACCATTCTTAATTTATCGTGGTGCCTTTCACGTCAATCGGGAGGATGTCTCAAATCGCTTCACAGGGTTTTCTGTGAAGCGCAGTGACTGTTTACCTTGTGCATGTTGGGACTTTGAACTCACACAGTCTAACCTGACACGCCAGTGCAGCGGTGGGGGGTGTTGCATTGTCAGAGTTGCCATCCTTGGGACGAGACGTTAAACCGAGGTCCCGTTTGCCTGTTCAGGTGGACTTTAGAGATCTCTGTGGTACTGTGCAAAAAGAGGAGAGAGTTTCTCTCTCCCGGTGTCCTGGCCAACAGTCCCCCAAATGAAACTGGTCACTCCCCCATGTCTGTTTGTGGGACGTTGCTGTATGAAACTGAGCTGCCAAGTTTTGCCCTTGAAAACACACAGTCACTGCACTTCACAGCAAATCCTGTGAAGCGCTTTGAGACTTCCTTCTGACATGAAAGGCGCTGTACCAATTGTAAGGGTTATTATCATTATAGGAATTATTATTATTATTAAATGCCTAGAAAGCTGTGATGTTACGGACAGCCACCGAAGAGTTGTTTGTTGTTGTTTTATATGGAAGGAAATACATTACTATAAAAATTATAAATGGAATATTTAGACTAATTAAAGCATGTTACAATGAACTACCGCTACATTTACCAGGAAGGTAGAAAAAGGAGCACAAGTTCTGAAAGAAACAGGTTGAAAATATGTTTTCAAACGAACCACATAGATCTTGATCCATGGATTTGTTTCTCTGCTGACTGCTGGAGTCACACTCCTCGAAAACATCCCGGGAACTTGTGACCTTTACGTTTACTGAAAATGATGGGTTTTGGCTGATGAAATGCCTGTTCGCGCCATCGGCTTTTGCACACCGCGGAAACAGTCAGCGCACGGAAGCACTTACTTAATTTATTGTACAGAGGATTAAATGGTTTGGCCGCGGTGACAACGTCTAGCTGTTGCGTGCTTTCACAAGAGGAACAAGAGGGCGAAACCTTAGGGAAGTTTCCTCACTCCACACGCCTGCTTACCTAACAGTAAGTAGGAAGCCAGTTGTTAGTCAATTGGTGAATCCCTTTCAGGGGATAATAATCTCTTTTTTAGAAAAGAACGGTCACTCAATTCACGACTGTTTCCAGGACACTACTGTCACGTTTCACCCACAAAATGCAGTCAATCCACTTTACAGTATATTCTGTGAAGCGCTTTGAGACGTCTCACGATGTAATAGCTGTATATTGAGTGATCGCATTTTTTTTGAAGGGGTTATCACACCCAGAAAGCAATCCGCCAATCGACTAACAATTGGGTTCCTACTTACTGCTGGGTGAACAGAGGTGTGTGGAGTCAGGAAACTTATCTAAGGCTTCGCTCTGCCTGGCAATGACACCCGGGTCCTCTCGCTTGCGAGAAAGGCGAGTGCTCTAACCGATACCCTACAGGACTCCAAATACAGACTGTGTGTTACATCTATGTTGGAGTAGCATAGTGGTGCTGCATCCTACAAATCAGTGAGAGGCAGGGCAGATCGGTGTAGCTGACACCAGAGAAAATGTGTACTCTGCGCTCCTATTTATCAGCAATTTTCAGCCCAAACATCAGTGTGCGAGAAAAATGAATGGCAGAAAAAGGGTATGGGTTTGATCGCACAAAGACAGTCCACTTGGCTGCTGATAGCTCTCAATGATTGTTTTCAGGTTCAATTCCTCTTGACTGGCTGTGAACATGATATTGCTGGAAGGAGTTCTATCCAGTCAATCATTTTTCTTTCCACAATAGTAGCTATCAACAGAGAAAGGCCTTTGTGGTATTAACTCTCAGGATTTTCTACGATTCTCCGAGTATTAATTAATTCCGGGCGAACACTAGTTTAACTGTTATTGGTTCATATTATAAATTATAGACATTGTCGATTCATATTATAGGCTATTAATGCTATCAATTACCATTATTAATCATTAATATGCATTATCAATATTATTAATTGGTATCAACAATTAGTATTACCAGCGATTGGTATTATTAATTATTAATATTATTTATTAATTAATTAATAGCATTAATTATCAATTAAATGTATTAATTATTTAGTTGTAGTATTCATTATTAATTAATTGTAGGCAAATTAATAAGTATTCTTTGGGGCATTAGTAGCAATACAGCACTAGTTTGGAGTAAACAAGAATTGAGATCTGAGGCCTGAAATTTTTTGGGTCTTTGCCTTAAGATCATTGTGTTAGACCACAAAACACACAGTCACTACGCTTTCTAGCATATTCCTGTGCAGCGAGCTTGCTACCACGTCGCCAGGCTGACACCCTAATGTGTTGTAATATCTCAGACTATGTTATTGATGTTAATAATAATCTGTCTTTAATTTGCTGAGTTTTGATCAATGCTTCTTCCGTAACCAGTGGAAGGAAGTGGACGAGCCTGGAACAAATCAAGCACTGTCGTGTCTTTGGTAAAACGCACACACAGACACGCACGCACGCACGCACACACACACACACACACACAGTCAGAGATAATGCAGGCGGTGGTGCCAGTAAATAACTACAAGGTGCATTGCAGTGTTCAGCTTGCCCACTGAAGCAGGGAAGGGATGCAGGTCAGCCTGTTAATGATGCTGAGGCCCAGTTCTTTCAAATCTCTCAACACTCGCAAGCGTACTTCACTCACTCTCTCCTTTGTTCAAGGCCAGCGTTAAGACGTGTCCCTTTTGCCCACCCTTTCCGTCATTTTTCCCCTCCGCATCTCGCTAGGCTTCCACCCCCACTCCGATTGCCCAGCCATCGATCCCCTCAATCTGAGAGGTGCTATCTGACTGTAAATTGTATTGTGCTACTAATAATAACCCATACATATGTATAGTGTGTTTCATGTCAGGAGCCTTCATGGGATTTATTGTAAAGTGCTGTGACTGTGTTTGTGGGCGAAAGTGGCAGCCAATTTGCACAGAAGAACATCCCACAAACAGCGACAAAGTGAGTGACTGATTTTATTTGGGGGGATTCTTGTCCAGGACACAAGGAGAGAGAAACTCCCTTCTCTTTTCGAATAGTGCCATGGGATCTTTAACATCCACCTGAACAGGCAGACGGGACCTCAGTTTAATGTCTCATCCAAAGGGCAGCAGCTCCATCAATGCAACATCCCCCCAAAACTGCATTAAAGTGTCAGCTTGGACTGGGTGATCATAGAATCATAGAATTATACAGCACAGAAGGAGGCCATTCGACCCATCGTGTCCATGCTGTCTCTTTGAAAAGAGCTATCCAATTCAATCCCACTCCCCCGCTCTCTCCCCATAGCCCTGCAAACTTGTCCTCCCCAAATAATTAACCACTTCTCTCTTAAAAGTTGTCTTTGAATTGGCTTCCACCACCCTTTCAGGCAATGCATTCCAGATCCGAACAACTCACTGTGTGAAAAAAGTTCTCCTCATCCCCCCTCTGTTTCTTTTAACACCTATTTTAAATCGGGGTCCTCGGGTTACCGACCCACCCACCAGTGGAAATCGTTTTTCCTTCTTCACTTATCGAATCCCCTTATAATTTTGAAAACTTCTGTTAAGTCTCCTCTTAACCTTCTCTGCCCCAAGGAGAATAATCCGAGCTTCTCTCGTCTCTCCTGATAACTGAAGTCCCTCATTCCTGGTACCATTCTGGTAAATCTCCTTTGTACCCTCTCCAATGCCTTGACATCCTTCCTAAAGTGTGGTGCCCAGAACTGAACACAGTCTCTCGCTGAGGCCTAACCAGTGTTTTATAAAGGTTCATCATAACTTCCTGACTTTTGTATTCTATGCCCCTATTTATAAAGCCGAGTATCCCGTATGCTTTTTTAACAGCTTTATCTCCCTGTCCTGCCACCTTCAAAGATTTACTTATATGAACCCCCAGGTCTCTCTGTTCCTTCACCCCCTTTAAGATTCTACCATCAGCTTATATTGCCTCTCCTCATTCTTCCTCCCAAAAGACATCACTTTGCATTAATCCAGATTAAATTTCAACTGCCACGTGTCTGCCCATTTTACCAGTCTGTCAATGTTCTCTCACCATCTGCTACTATCCTCCTCATTGTTTACTACTATTCCCAGCTTAGTATCATGTGCAAACTTAGATATTGTACTCCGTATACCCAAGTCCAGGTCATTTATATAGGTCAAAAACAGCAGTGGTCCCAATACCGACCCCTAGGGGATACCATTATACACTTACCTCCAGTCAGAAAAACAACAGTTCACCCCTATTCTCTGCTTTCTGTCTCCCATCCGGTTCCGGTTCTGTATTCTGATCTCAAAGTCCCGATGTATTGTATAGCTTTTCAAATTCAGTAGAGTCCTGAAGCATGTTGGTCAGAGCCTCTGTTTACCTACAACCACAGCAACAACAACCTTGGAGTCCTGTAGCTCAGTGGTTAGAGCACTCGCCTTGCACAAATATACAGTCAATTCACTTTACAGTCTATTCTGTGAAGCGCTTTGAGATTTCGAGAAGACGTGAAAAGCGCTATATCAAATGCAAGGATTATTGTTATTATTATTA